GGAATTGGCAGATCAATGACACTCACTGGTGTCACTAGCAGGAGACAGGGACTAGCAGAAACAGCAAGTATCCAAAATGACTTCCAATCTGTCAAAATATCATATATTTTGTGTGTGTGTGGTTATTGTTCCCAGGCGTTCAACTCTCCATTCTTTCTCATCTCATCTATCTTTTAAGTAAGCTATTTCTGTACTAAATCAGTTTCTGCTGTCAGTAATGAATTGGACAAGAGTGAATAAGTTGAAACTAGATCAAGACAAGACAGAGGTGTTCTTGGTCATTCATGAGACAGATCAGGAAATTGAGATGCAGCCTCTGGTAGATGAGATTACATTTCCCCTGAAATCTCAGGTTCACAGCTTGGGTATTTGAGCCTGGGTGCCCATGTTTCACCAGTGGCCAGAAATGTGTTTGCACAGTTAAAATTAGTGCACCAGCTGTGACCATTCCTTTAAAAGTAAGATCTGACAATGATGATACATGCCTTGATTGCCTCCCATTTGGATTACTGTAACTCACTGTATGTGAGGCTGCCTTTGGAAACTGTTCAGAAACTTCAGCAGGTTCAAAATGCTGCAGCCAGGCTGCTGACTGAAGCAGATTGCAGGGATGATGTGTTGAAACAGCTTCATTGGCTACTGATCCATTTCTGGGCAGAATTCAAAGTGCTGGTTATTACACAGACTGTCTAAATGATTGTATTTTCCTATATGCACTGGCCTGTGTTTTAAGATCTTTGTCTTTGTCTTGTCCCAGCACCATCAAGCATGTTTGGTGAGGACATGGGAGAGAGACTTCTCAGTGGCTTCTCCCAGGCTATGGAACTCCCTTCCACAGGAGGTCCATTTGGCTCCCTTCCTGCTCATTTTCTGCAAGCAGGTTAAGACCTTCTTATTTAGACAGGCTGTTTAGGCAATTACTGTTGTTTTTTAATCATATGGTGGAATGGTGTTGATAGTGGTGTGCTGTGTTTTTATCCTCTATGCTTTAATCTACTTTTAATTGCCATTTAATTTTAACTTTCATAAAATGGCTTTCAGAGGAGCCAACATAGGTTCCTTTGAGGAGATATCAAGATAGAAACAGCTCCTAAAGGTCAGCCTTTTAAAAACTACTGTTGTAGGCAACCCTCTTTCCTTCTAAGCCAGTCCATAACAACACTGGCAACTGCTAGGTCTGCTGTTTCTCAAATGACATGGCTTGCTCACGTGTGGCTGCCAAAATTCCCAGGAGAACTATTTTTAAAGGAGGAGTAAAATTATCCTGTGGACTCCTGGTCAAATTCCAGTGCAGGTAATTTATTTCCTGCCTTCCTAGAATTACGTGAGCGCACACACACACAAACACCTTGGCTCCTTCCCTACACCCTGCAAGATTTAGTATATTTTATTTAGCACTCTGCGTTTATATCTACCATTTCTGTCTTCTCTAAGATACTTGGGTTTTTTAGAATGAGTTGAAAATCAATAACATGCTGCTTGATTGTGTAGCTGGGAGGTGTCAGTCTCTAAAACATTAAAGAGCAATGGGGAAAGTAACTTATTACACTGAAGCGCATTGAGGATTATAGTAAGCCATGTAGGTTTGCCAACATATTGAAATCAGCGGACAATGAAAAGCCAATCCTGAGAAATATGTGCAGTAATAGGGAGAGAAGGGAATGGTAAATTCAGGTTCTGTGTGCTATTAGAATAAGGGCTGAAAGAAGGAAGCAATTACAGGGCATGATTAATGCCCTGATTCATTATTCTCATATTTAAAATGTGATTTTTTTTATTAGAGTGTGCAGTGTGTTCAATTTGGCATCCAGTGCTGATGACAGCACTGCTGTAAGCATCATGTCTCCTGATTAAGGCAACATCTTTATTTTCACAATGTGTAAACGATTTCCCTTTCTTGTTGAGTCCAAAGGACTGTTTCACATTTCTACAAAATATTTACTCCCTCTGAGTAGTTAAAATGCATGGCTGGGCAGCATTCTCTCAGAGTGGGTGATTGAACAGCTCTATATAATTCAGAAGCTTGCTTTTTAAAAAAAGTTTTAGTTAATCCTAATGAAAGCAATACCTTGTGAGTCATAACTTAATATAGCAGAGTTCCAGATCCTGTTGGGCCACAAATCCCATCAATCCTAATAACTGGTATCTGGGACTGATGCCCATTGGAGCCCAACATCACCCAAAGGGCCGCATAGTCTTCATCTCTGTAACGCAATACCACACAGAAATTGTTTCGCACATCAGGGGGTGAAAAGCATGGCTGCATTGTACAAAAAGAGGAGTAGGGTCCCTGTTAAAAGGAGTGGGTGTGACAAGGAAGGGTTTTTTAAAAGAGTGGCATGGCTTGTTCTGTGAAATGCTAGTGAAATACCTGTCATGATAGTAATACAGGAAGGAGGAGGCTTTGCAAATTCTAAGGATACCTCACAGATACTTTGTATATGTATAATAGTCACTGTTACTCAGACCTCTTATTTCTTCCATTTTTTTCCTTCCAGGGGGTTTTGCCGCCTTCTCATCTTGCTTCCCAGGACTCTGTGAAGGGAAACCCACTGCAATCCTGCCAATGAGTATCTCCCAGCCATGCCTGCCAGTGGCCAATGTTGGCCCAACACGCATCCTGCCTCATCTCTATCTAGGATCCCAGAAAGATGTCTTAAATAAGGTACAGTCTGGCAGCAGGGGAGAGTTGGTGGCTTTGCCTTGTCTGAAAAGTTCTGTGACCTGGGTGAGAAAGTGGAAAACAATATAGACAGTGGTGCCTCCTGGAGTATTTTGGAATGGGCAGAGATGCAGTCTTCTGAATTGCTAAGGACATGAACAGCAAGACAGCAGTATTGCCCCTGAGAGATTCGAGAAGACAGATAGCTATTTATTGCCAAGATTCATTACTAGCCAGTGTAAAGAATAACACTGACTTGAGCTCTTCCACGTCAAGCCTCAGAGTCAGATAATGAGGTATGAAGCTTGGCATTCAGTTGTGACTGATACTGAGGTGAAGTACAAGAGAGTTTAGGCCCTACAGCCCACATCTGCAATGAAAGGACCCTTTGAACTGGCCCTGAAATGGACAAAGATGTAAGAGGAGAGGGGAGGGAGCAGGCAGTGTCCTTTCAAAATTTGCCAGAATGCTTGGGCTATGATATCATTTCAGGGAAAAGATTTCTACTTAAAGGAAAAAGAAAGCCTAATAAAATTAAAGAAGAAGGGAACCATAGTTGTTAAAATACCAGTGGGCACATATCCTGGACAGGAGGGAGCCAGTTGGGCATTCTTTCCTCAGGGGATGGGTTAAGGGGAAGGATCTAAACTAAAACACAGAAAGGAGAGTAGGAAACTTTTTATGCAGGGAGTAGAAGGCGATGAGGGAGAAAAATGCTAGGAATGTGAGCTTGGCTTCTTGCTCTTAGGGGCTGAGGTTAGGGTCATTAGGACTGCTCAGAAAAAAAAAATGGAGCCGTAGAAACTCAAAGGAACCATAGTGTTGAGTTTCAGTACTTGAAAACAGGAGGGATGTAATAGGAACCCATAGACCTTTGTGTCAATTTGCCTTTCTAGGAATTTAGCATACAACAATAATCTGTGCAGTACTGCATCTTCACTTCCTTGTGGAAGCCTTGCATTTTTTTCACTGGGCAAAGGCCACTGATTTCTCCAGAGATTCTTTCTTGAACTCAGACAACAGTGACAAGCTGTCTGCTAACACACCCTACCTCTGTATGTCAGCACAGCTATTGCAGGGTGAGCACTGTAGAAAGAGAAAGAGGAGAGAAAGGAGCCACAAGCATAATCAGGGCCCCTGAAAGAGTGAATAAAAAGATTCTGCACTGGACTGACTAACTTGCATTGCTTGTCTCATTCTTGCCCAGGACCTGATGACCCAGAATGGGATAAGCTATGTCCTCAACGCCAGCAATTCTTGTCCCAAGCCAGATTTCATCTGTGACAGTCACTTCATGCGCATTCCTGTCAATGACAATTACTGTGAGAAGCTCCTTCCCTGGTTGGACAAGTCCATTGAATTCATTGGTAAGACTGCTGACCAGCCGCTGAGGGCCTTTCCTTCATCTAGGATGCAGTTTTTGTGTGCTGCTGCAGAAAAACTAGATAATTATGACTGAGCTATTCACTCTCTCCACCCTACCACAACACCCTTCTGTTTTGTTCCTGATGTTATTTTTCATTCTACCCTGTGCAAAACACCCAGTCTGCCCTTGGGAGGCATACTTTCTCCCATAGTACAAAACAAGCTTCCTAGTACTGAATTCCCCAACCACAAGAACTCTCAAGATTCACTGGTGTAAATCTGCAGTGTCCTAAAGACAACTAATACCACATGGCACAACAGTGCTGCTCCATGTAGAAATGTATTTTGATTTATCTAGTTGCTTTTGTTTATCAAATGCAACCATGCTGTCTCTTAACACCAGAGATTATTGGTTAAATAAAATGGTGGGATTAAGGAGTGATTTATTGCCTACAGATAGAATGAGAGAAATATAGCCAAAGTCTCCTTAGAGCAGTAATGGCCAGCCCACTGGTTGCATGCCAGCCCACTGTACCTTCACCTCATACATGACATTATCAAATCTGATGCAACAGTGGTAGCCCTGTGTGTGGTTTCCCTTTAAAACAAACCATGTTGGGAGCACACACTTTGCTTCATACTTGAAGAAGCCTCATCTTGAAGGCTAATGGGGCAGGGAGTATTGCAGCATGTTTGGTTGAATAGCAGTGGAGATTTTGGGTGTGGTCCCCTTTTGATTTTGGAGGGGCACAGAGTGGGCCTGTCCACCATTGCATTGAACAATTCTTTGGAGCAAGGAAGCTGAGAAAACAAAATTGTATGTTTGCAGAATGTTGTTGTTGTTATTGTGTACCTTCAAGTCATTTCATTTCGTAGGGGTTTCCTGGCAAGACTTGTTCAGAGGGCGGTGCCTTTGCCTTCCCTCCGAGGATGAGAGAATATGACTAGGCCAAGGTCACCCAGTGGTTTTCTATGGCCAAGCAGGGATTTGAACCCTGCTCTCCCAGAGTCCTAGTCAAATACTCAAACCACTTTACCATGCTGGCCCTTTATGCTGGTTTGTAGATCCATTCATTTAATCTGACACTGCATTTACAACCCATTTTCAACAAAACATAGTAGCTAATATTTTTCATCAAGCAGAACAGCAACAAAGCTGCCGGTGCCTGTGGATGGCCTTGGCCAAGTCTCAAAATTTTCAGGATTGTTTATGTATAGGGAATAAATAATGCATTTTCCCTTTTAATTGATCTGAATTGTGTTGAACTTTGCCAGATACAAGGCAACATGAAAGTAAACCTATGTTCTTCTGCTGCCTATATTGTATTGTTTCTGTTGCCAAACAGGAAACTCATATTTACAGACTTCTTAACTAGAAACTAGCTCCAAAAAGAGTTCCTTAAATGCCACAAATACCTAGAATTTGCATTTATTTCAGGGACCAAAGATAATTAAAAAATTTGGTCCTGTGTTGTTAATTAGAAATGGAGAACTTGTAGCCCTTGCACAGTCAGATGCAACTCTGTCAGAAAGCCAGCATGGTGGTAATGGTTTAACTGCTGGACTATGATTCTGTTGACCAGGGTTCAAATCCTGGCTTGGCCATGGAAACCCACTGGATGACCTTGAGCAAGTCAAACTCTTTCAGTCTTAGACGGTATCAAAGACAAACCTCCTCTGAACGAAGATACCAACAAGCCCCCTGGTTCTCAAAATGTCAGAGCATGTAGAATCTCAGAATATCACTCTCAAAGCTGTCTTCCCCTGTTGCAGACAAAGCCAAGGTCTCCAGCTGCCAGGTGATAGTGCACTGTTTGGCAGGAATCTCCCGATCAGCCACCATTGCCATTGCATACATTATGAAGACTATGGGCATGTCTTCAGACGATGCCTACAGGTAGGTGTTTCGTGTTTTTTTTTTCCTGGAAGAGGTTACTAACTGTCTTTTTTTCATCAGCTAAAGAGAATAAAATTGGGCTATCAATGTAGGCAGGTTTTGTTTTTGAACACTTCAAAAATATATTTTTTTTCTTTAAGAAGGCACATATTGCCATGAGGAATACTTTCCATGTGTCCCAAAAATAGAGTACTATATGATGATCACAACAAAACTCAACACTGCACCCAAGCACTGTATTCACTTGCTGAGATAGATGATCTGTCACCAAACAAGGAATGTTTTGTGGGACCTGAAGAGGGCTCGGTTACTGCCCTTTCCTTAGACGGAAGATTAGGAAGCTCACTTGCATGACTGTGATTCTTATATGAATGTCATCTGCAGATTGGCTCCTGGCCTATGGCCAGCTGGCCCCATGCATCTGCTTTCAGATGTAGGACTGGATGTAGGGTTGGACTTTTTTAGTAGCTCACAGCAAACTCAAGTTTCAGCTATTGGTGTTTCCATCTCATAGTGCTGCATAAGTAGCAGTGGGTGAGTAAAATGGGCAAGGACCCAATCTATAAAAGCAATTTTCATGACTCTCTCACTGAGTCTGAAGATTGTATAAACTGCAGGTAGGTGTTGTTAGACTGTAAAAAGCCTTTAAAGTGTCACGCTGCAGCCCAACTCTTGCCAATGCCACCACATACACGTCATTCAGCTGCAGCACAATCCAGGCAAGTTGGGTGGATGGAAAGACAGTTTATATTGCTCGAAGGGTAGATGTGGCTTGCTGATTAGATACTCCCAAAGTTAAAGTCTATCATTCACAGAACTAAAGAATACCACTGAAAAGTAAAGTAACAAAATTGTTGTGCTGCTTGCTTTGGCAGGTTTGTCAAAGACCGGCGCCCCTCCATATCACCCAACTTCAACTTCTTGGGCCAGCTCCTGGAGTATGAGAGAAGCCTGAAGCTGCTCAAGGTTTTGAAGGCTCAAGGGGAGAAGGGTGAGGGAGAATCCCACCAAGACCACTCTGAAGCACCTGAAGGCAACAGGCAGCAGACTCTGTCTACCTCAGAAAAGGCTGAGGAACTATTAAAAATCACAACCTTGGAAACCTCCTCAATTGACTCTGAGAGGCCATCAGGAATTCCCAAGGTTGTCTCACCTACAGCACTACAGCAAGGACTGAATGGGTTGCATTTATCTTCAGAGCGCATCCAAGACACCAACCGGCTGAAACGTTCCTTCTCCCTGGACATCAAGTCAGCTTACTCTCCTACCCAGAGGCAGGATGCTGTAGGTCCTACAGAAGCAGGAGAAACCCCCAAGCTCTGTAAGCTGGACAGCCCTTCAGGTCCCAATGGCACATGCCAGTTCTCTCCTCTTCCAGATAGCCCTGACTGGCCCAGTGGGCCTGACTTCCTTCTAGAGGCCAAAGTACGGCAGAGACGAAAGCACAGGCACCAGGCAGGCTCCCCTGCCCATGGGCTGAGCCTTAATTTCAGTGGGGTGTGTGCCATGCATAAAAGCACCAGTGTGGAGGACAGTCTCAAGCAGACGCTTCGGCTGAGCCTTCCCAATGTCGGGCAGCAGCTGGCACAGCCAGCTACCACTCCAACCTCTGCCAGCACTTGGGGGGTGCACTTGGAATCCCCTAGCACTCCTTCATCAGAGAACCCCTGGTACTTCAGCACAGACCCAGCGGCAGCAGGTGGCAAAGGCAGTGGGAGCGGGACTCTATTTGCCAATGCCACCACATACACGTCATTCAGCTGCAGCACAATCCAGGCAAGTTGCGAGATCAGACTAAGGGAGAAGCAGCGCGGGGAGCAGCGGGAGGTGCGGCACAGCTGGCACGAGGACACCGCTGCCGAGAAGCAGTTCAAGCGAAGGAGCTGCCAAATGGAATTCGAGGAGACCTTGTGTGAGAGCAGGTCTCGGGAAGACCTGGGCAAAATCAGCAAACAGTCTAGCTTTTCAGGCAGCATGGAAATCATAGAGGTGTCCTGACATTCACCTTGTGAGATCTGAGAGCAAGTGTGGGTGCATCGGCTGGCAAGTGGGTGGGCGGGAGAGGAAGCAGGTGGGTGGGAAGGGGAAGACCCATGAGATATTTAACTGGGGAAATAAAGGGCATGGGTGAGGGTGGGAGCTTTATTTATATGCCTGTGTGCTTTTCCACAGGGCACACACGCTCAGACAAAGAAGGCGTCAAAGCTCAATGAATCCAAAGTCAAGAAACAGAATGGTGCATGCTTAGTGCTCCCTTTTGATCCTGCCTCCACCACCAATATGAACCATAGCCACATTCCCTTCTTTAGCAGGTGGAGTGTTAACTCTTTTAAATCCTGGATTCTTTCCTTTCACATGTAGACAGTGCTTCCTTCCCCATAGGTGAAAGGGGGGCTGAGGCATAGCTTCAAAGACAGAGTGAAGAACCTCGGGATGGGGAGTTTTTGTTTAAGACTTCCACCAATGGAAAGTTTTTCTGGAGGAAAATGATTGATTGATCAGCAGATTTGCATGGGGGAAGTTAAAGGGAAGCAGGTTCTTTTCTTTTAAGAGTACATTACCAATTGTTAATAATCCTTTCCTATTTAACCTATAGGAAATGATGTAAAACTGCCCACCCACTCCTGCTGCAGGAAAGGAGTTCCCCTCTCATTCCCATCAGGTCTTGACATTTATATATTGGTGACTCCTTTCCAGATTGGGGTGCAAAAATTGGAAAGGCTAATTTTCAATGGCTTTCCTCTGTATCTTCCCTTCCCATACTGAGCATGCTCCTCTGTGTTTCTCTGGCTAGTATTCTTTAATGCTGCACGAGAGCAGCCTTATACATATATAAATATATATTATATATAATATAAAAGAGAGAGAAAGAGAGAGAGAAACACAAAGAAAAGTTAAATGGTTTTACTACAGTTTTTATTGAGACAAATATTTCGACTTTTCTTTTTAATTTATTTGAAATTGTTCATTCTGGCAATGATTTTCAGACAATGTAGGGGCGGTACTTTCAGCTCTGTTTTTACTGTGTATACTATTTAAATCTGAAACATGAGTTTCAAAGCAATATCCTAGGCCTGTGGCTCCTTCTGTAGCTCACATCAGTGACGCAGACACCCCCAAAGTGGGATAAGAAATTTCTCTGTGTGTGAGTAGGTGTGTGAGTGAGTGGGCGGGTGTGCAACTGCATGTGTGTGCACTTTTATTTTATTTTTTAAGGTTAGGAAAATCTTCAAGACAAACTGAGCCAGGAACCCTTCTTTAATGCTTCTTCCTAATTCTGTTGCATCTGCAATCAAAGCCATAAAATCTTCCCCTTCTTGAGGGGTATTGGGTTGGGGTGGTAAGGGCAGACACTTGCATCACTATATGAAAAAAGGAGTCCTAGAGTAAGGAGGGGTCAGTAGAAGGCATCATTATAACCATATGAATGATTTTTTTTTAATTCCTCTCTGCAGAGGAAGCTTATTAATTCTGGGGGTATATACCCACAAGATAAGTCCCTTTCCAGTAGCTCAGGGTATCTCCCAAATGAATTATGGGTGATAAACAGGCCATCCTGTGCCCTTACAAATGGGGTAGGCTACTTCAAATAGCTGTTCAGATGCTGCTCTTACTCAAACAGTGTTGAATCTAGGCTTTGTGGAAAGGGTTGGAGTTGGGAGAAAATCTTGAGGCCTAAAACCCATGGGAAAGGATGAATGAGTTAAGTTGTTTTGGTACTATAGTAAAATTTGCTTTAAGGTTCTTAGGCCCTAGGTGGCGATCCTGCTGTAAAACAGTGTCCGTTTACTGCAAGAGCAAGTCTCTCAACTCCAGTTTGTCATCGCAGATCTGTGTCTACTCTTGTTCATCTTCTACCAAAGGAGTCCCTGCTACAAAGGGATTTCTCAGTGAATGCAAATCACAGCCAATGAAGTAGCAGTCCAAAGACAAAGCTGAACCAGTGAAAGGCCAAACTTAAATAGGCTTTTGAAAAAGGAAGTTCTAGAAAGGATAGATTATTTCAGGTGTAGAGTGAAGGATTTGCCAATCCATCCCTATCTCCCACTTCAGCAACCCATCTTCAAACCCTCTGATGTTTGGCTAAGAAGATTACTTTAGTTATAAATCTTATTTGACTCTTCTTTGAAAGACCATGTTGATTGGCTGG